GAAGAAGAAAAAAAAAAAAAACCAGCAAAACTTACTCTCAACAGCGTGCACTGCAAAAACGAGCAGAGTAGGAGAGAAAAGAGAAATAATCAGATCCTTATAATGAAAAGATACAGAGAGTCAGAGTGCGCAACATTTAAAACTCATACCAAAAAGAGGAAGAGTAATGTAACAGCTTTGCCAGTGTGCTTTCTAGGCCATAAAAAATGACTCCCTAGCTAGGCAAAGGACTGATATCTAGATAAGCAATCATTTAAAGAGTAACAGAGAAACAAAAATGCAGGAATTAATCACTAAAAGGGAAAAAAAAAAAACAGTGAGATGCCCACACACATTAAGTGAACTCTAAAGCAGCACGCCAGATAACAATGCTTGTAATGTTTAGATTCTTTTTCAGTCTTGCAGTAACAGAAAGATAATTTTAGGAAGTAACCAAAGCTATCCAGAAGTGCACTCAAGGTTTACATTCATGACATATTAACAATTCAAAGCTGGGTAACAAGTTTTTGTTCTTAATCAGTCCTGTACTGCTTTCCTGATGCACAGAGAAAGTAGCAAACCACGAGGTGGTGTTGGTTCATTCTGTTGCAAGCTCCCAACAAACGTGAATACCTGGAAGGATGGCAGGCAGGGAAAATGTATGTTTGGATGGCATATCTCAAAGGAGCTTAAGCAACCTCCTTTTTTGTTTGTTTCAAAAGACTGTTCACATATATTCAACACTGAGCATGACTAACCAATAACTGTCAGGGACTTATACTTCCTCAGGGATGGGCCTCTGAATCCTTCATATAGCAATTTCAATCCACTTTGCCAAATGCTACATCCCTGGTGGTGCTTCTACAACAACATCTTTTTTGGTATGGAGAAGGTATGGAAGGTATGGAGGGCCTCCAGGTGGCTGCTTGACAAACATTAGGCTTTCCCAACAACGGGTACAACTTGAGCTCTGATGGATTACAGTCCAGTGACAAATGGAAGTGTCATGCTTACGGTCTCCAAAACAGACTTG